AAGTCAGATGACTGTTCATATAGGGGTCTCTTTCTGGGCTCTCGCACACTCCACAGATCGCTTGTTGCACTAATAGCATATTATCTTAATTACTACTGCTTTAGAGTAAGTCTTTTTTTTTTAAAGTTTTTATTTGTTTTGAGAGGGGAAGAGAGAACAAGGGAGGTGAGAGAGAGAACCCCAAGCAGGCACAGAGCCCAACACGGGGCTCAATGCCATGGGCCACAAACCACAAGATCATGACCTGAGCAGAAATCAGACACCTGATTGAGAGCCACCCAGGCACCCCTAGAATAAGTCTCGATATCTGACAACATAAGTCCTCCGACTTTGCTCTTCTCTAAAGTTGTCTTCACTTTCCAGGCTTTGGTGTTTATATTGTTTTTTAATCTGTTTATCAATTTTTTAAAATATTTATTTATTTTTGAGAGAGACAGCACAAGTTGGGGACGGGCAAAGAGAGGGAGACGCAGAATCTGAAGCAGGCTCCAGGCTCTGAGCTGTCAGCACAGAGCCCAACACAGGGCTCAAACCCACTAACTGTGAGATCATGACCTGAGCCAGACTTGGATGCTTAACGACTCAGCCGACCAGGTGCCCCAGTTTGGTATATTTTTAAAAATTAGCACTTTGTGATGTGAGCTATAATGTTTTCTTCCTGTTTGTTTTTGACTTCATAGTATTTTCAGTTCATGTTCCTTTCCCCTTTCCCCTCCTTTCCTTTTCTGGATTATATTTTTTAAGCCCTCTGCCCAGCATGAAGTCACATGCTCCCCCAGGGAGCTGGCCAGGCGCCCCCATAGCAGTTTCATCTTGTGCAGACATTTCTTGTTTGATGTTCCAGTTTCTCAAGCCCCTCTTACAGCTCTTAGCTTCTGGAGTGTCCTGACCATGGCCTTCCCCCCCACCCAGAGTATGCAACAAAACTGTCTCATTGCCAGGACCTTGGTGGGTGGATGGTTTTGTGTTTAGGTATTTTACTCATCTTGAAATTATTATGTGAGGTAAGGGCACAACCTTATTTTTTCCAGATGGATACCAAGTAGTCTTTATTGAATAATCTGCCTTCCTCCTACTGATTGACTTGAAACGTCACTTTTATCAGATGCTCCAATACTTTATATATCTGGCTATATGTCTTCACCTCCTAATGTGTTCTCTTTGATTTGTGTAGACATGCACCAGTACCAGACGTTTTAATTACTGTGGTTTGAATGTCTGCTAAGGCTAGTCCTCCCCTATTTTTCTTTTTCATTGGCATGCTTGCATTAAAAATATATACATACCAGCTATAGAATTAGTCTTTCAGGTCTATCAAAGAATCCTTTTGCTCTTTTTATTAGGGCAACATAGAATCCGTGGCTTAGTTCAAGGAGCACTGACGCCTCTGTGGGGGAGTTCATGTTCCCTCTCCACGCCCCTTCTGTGGTCCCTTTCTATCTCATCGTAGTGGTTCTAAAATTTTCTCCATGAAGCTTTCTTCTGTTAAGTTTACTCCAAAATACTTCAACTTTCATGACTATTGCAAATGTGGTTGATTCCTTCCTTTCTGTCCTGACAGTGGTGACTAATTGTGTACAGGGGAATGCGGCTTGGATGCATGTAAGGTATTTTTCCCCCATCACCTAACTCATTTCCATCTCTTCATGGTAGTTTTCTAGTTGATGTTATCAGATTTTCAAAGTAAATTATCGTATCTACAAATAATGATAGTTTTGCTTCCTTTCTGATTTCTTACCTCTCATCTCTCTGTTTTGATGTCGGTGTCACATATTAGCGATTGAGTGTACTGCTGGTAGTGGCTGCCTCATCTTGTTAAATGTTCAAGTATCAGTTTCTTCCTGTTTTATTAAGAATTTGTATAGGGGCATCTGGATGACAACTCACTCTTGATTTCAGCTCAAGTCCATGAATTCGAGCCCTGAGTCAAGTTCTGTGCTGACAGCTCAGAGCCTAGAGTCCACTTCTGATTCTGTCTCCCTCTCTCTCTGCCTCTTCCCTGCTCACACTCTGTCCGCCCAGGGAGGCACAGAAAGACGGAGACACAGAATCCGAAGCAGGCTCCAGGCTCTGAGCTGTTAGCACAGAACTTGATGTGGGGCTCAAACTCACGGACCTGAGATCATGACCTGAGCTGAAGTTGGATGCTTAAACAACTGAGCCACCCAGGTGTCCCAACATTTAAAAAAAAAAATTTTTTTCCCGAGCGTAGGATGATTGACTTGGGAAAGCTTTTTTACTTTGGTAAAATTTACTCCAATACAGGAATTAAACACACTTATATATACGTACATATATGTGTGTGTGGATATATGTGTACCCATTCGTGTGTGTATGTCGGTACATATGTATGTATGTATATGTGTATATATTAGTACAGAAACCTATGTAATTGTGTGTTTTTATGCCCAGATTTGAAAACCCTGCTCTGGATTTGGACACTGGTGCATCATGAGTGTGTTTAGTGTGTCTGCACACGTGCCGGGTGTTGGCATCCCTCCGTGGGGCAGGCCTCCTGGGACAAGCCCGGGTTGCACCGCCCGCTGGCGGAGGGCTCGGTGGGGCTGTTAATCCCGGCACCGCACCTCGCTGCCCGGGTGGCCTGGCAGTGGAAAACTGAGGGGAGGGCTGGGGCATCCGGGCAGCCGGACGCTCTGGGCCTGTGGGTGGCGCATCTGCCGCGTCACTGGGCCTCAAGATTCAGGGATGGGTGGCGTGTAGTAGGAACGCACCGGACAAGTGATGTGTGACTGACGGCGCCATAGACACGGTGCTAGAGAGAAGTTCCGAGCAATGTGGCGGGTAAGGGGAGCCAGGTGAGATCAGGGTCGTCCCCGTGAAGTCACTGACTCCCCAGGTTCTCCAGGGTCTGCAGGAGGCCGACAGAAGGAGACAGGCTCTGCCTGTGAGGGAGCAGCCAGGCGTCCGAGTCGTCCCCGGATGGGCGGGGGCCTTCCTGGTCCTCCTGTGGAGCGCCCCCCAGTCCCGGGGGAGGGGACACGGGGGTGGGAGAGCTTCCTGGGAAGAGTGCTGAGTGGGAGAGGAGTTGCGGCTCACCGCGGAGGGGCCGGGAGCCTGGTGTGGCTGCGCGCCCCCCAGCGGCACAGCGGGCATGGTGGCACGCCCCCTCCAGCGCCTCGGGGTGACCGCGCCCTCGCCGAGATCCTTGTGGGAGGTGATGTCAGGGTGCTGCGTCCGGCACATCTGCTCTGCCCTTCTCTCCGAATGCTGTCGGCAGCTTCCGTTGGCGGCCCGCCTCCCCCTCCCATGCGGTGCTTCCCGTGGGCGCCTTGTCACCACAGAGTGCGGCGGCTAGGCCGCTCGCTTCATGGGCGCCTGGGGGACTCAGGCACTTCAGAGGCAGACTCTTGATTTTGGCTCAGGCCATGATCTCGCAGTTTGTGAGTTCAAGCCCCGCATCAGGCTCTGCATGGAGCCTGCTTGGGATTCTCTCTCCCACCTCTCTCAGCCCCATCCCCCTCTCGCACTCTTTCTCTCAAAGTAAATAAATAAACTTAAAAAAACAGAAAAGAGTGACCACTAGGAGCACAGCCACTTCTTGGGCCTAAAGTAAGAACGTCTGGTGGTTAAACTTAGGGAACGCACCACCCCTTGGAGCCACGGAGGCCTCCCTCTCCTCCCCCTGCACATGTTATCTTCTCAATGCAAAAATGACATGTCCATCGATGACAACTGAGACATCACAGAAGTTAGAAAATAAGGTAAAAGTAAAAACCCTGGTCCCCATCCCCCACCCCATTCAGTCCTGAAGGGCGGCTGCCGCTCAGGGTAGAGCCTCCCGGACGACGTGCTCCAGCTCCAGGTGAATGCAGTGTGCGTGTCTTCTGCAGTGGGCTCTGTCATACGCACTGGACAGAAGTGGAGCCCTTTTTCCTTCTTGACTGAACTGTAGTCTTGGACTTTATTCCACGCTGGTTCACAGGGTCTGTAAGGACTGTGACAGCGGAGGTACCGTTGTCCGTGTCATCAGTTCTTTGTTGCCTTTGTCCTTGCATCTTTAGCTCTGTGCAGGTGTGTGAGAATACCTGCAGGAGCAAATTCTAGAAGTAGAATTGCTGGAACAAAGGTGTATGTGTACACTTGACATTTTGGAGGTGTTTTCAGATTCTCTCGGAAGATGGGAGGAACTGTGGCTCTCCCGACGAGCATAGACATGGCTGCCTCCCCCAGCTGCACCAGCCCAGGCTCCCTCTCAGCCCTCTGAGATTGGTGAGGAGCGGTGGCTTGCTGTTTTATTTTCATTACTAGAGGCCTTGAGTACCTTTTTATATGCCTAAAAGCCATTTGTATTTCTTTACACAATATGTGAGAGAAATGAGAGAAATCAGAATGCGTCTGATTTAGTAGAATTTAGGATGATTCTGGATTGTAACTTTGTTCGCTGTTGCTCTGTTCAGAAGTTTTTCATCTTTAATCAAGTCTGTCTGCCATTGTGTGGTACTTAGGAAGACTTTACTTACCCCAAGACTGGAGAAATATTTTCCTGTTTTGTTCTGTTCTTTAGTCCACGGAAATTTATTTTTGTGACTCGTGCAGACAAGGGAGCTAACTTCGTGTTTCTTCTGAATGGAAGGCCTATCGCCCCACCTCTAGTCTAAGCATTGCATGCTCTTCTTGCTAATGTTATTACCAAATCATCAAGTGTTCACTGGGGTCTTAGGCAAACATGGGAGTATGAGACCCCCCTCTGTAATAAATACCAAGTTGATAAAGTATTCACTGAGGCTAAGAATGGGTTCTGTCCTCTCAAGTTACGAAGAAAAATAGCTGAAGATGGAACTGAGAAGAGTGAAGGACTGTCTCGCTTCACTTTGGTGTCTGTTTCTGAGCACTGGGAGCCTTACTAGAAGGCAGAGGGAAGCCAGGAATTCAGGAGGGTGGAGTTGTACGTGCAGGAAGCCACAACTTGCTACGCCGTTTCACGAACCCATGCTGTCGGAAGGCACCTCATTCTGCGCTCCCCTCCCTGCCTTTCACAGCCTAAGCACAATGGCCAGACGCTGCTGACTCAGGTGTGGAGGCGTTTGAACCTGACGGAGTGTGACTACTTCGGGCTGGAGTTTCAGCACCCCCGGGCCTACTGGGTATGTGCTCCTGCCTCACTCTTGCAGACAAGCTGTGGGTACGTGGTGGGTGCTGGTGGTGCACGTGGCCCTGGGGGAGCCTGGGGGACCTGCAGCAGCGACGGGAGCCACGGAACCTTATCACAGGGCTGTTATTGGGGCTGTCCCGTGGAAATCATGGAGTTCACGTGCCTGTTAGCTAGGCTGAGTTCCCGTCCTCCCTGAATGTGTTCCCCCTGCCAGTCCACGTGCCAAGGAGATCCAGAAACCTCCTCTGGTACATCTGTGTGGTGACCGTTTTGAGCAAACTGTTCTACTAAATTGGTTACCCATCATGTTACTTGATAGATGAGCCTTAAAAAGTATGGAGCTTTAATTTACAGGTAGAACTGTTTTAAAGGTTTACTTCTTTTTTTTTTTTTTTTTTAAGTATTTTTTTATTTATTTCTAGGAGAGAGAGAGAGACAGCGTGAGCAGGGGAGGGTCAGAGAGAGAGGGAGATACAGACTCTGAAACAGGCTCCAGGCTCTGTGCTGGCAGTCAGCACAGAGCCCGACGCGGGGCTCGAACCCACGAACCGCAAGATCATGACCTAAGCGAAAGTCGGACGCTTAACCGACTAAGCCACCCAGGCGCCCCAGGTAGAACTGTTTTAAAAACCAAAATCCTCCTCCAAGTCATTTGCAGAACATAATTTGCAGAACCTATCAGTTCAGTAAGCGTGTCAGCGTCACAGAGTTCAGTCCACCGCTTCGTGCAGTGGCACTCCTGCCATTGTTGTTTACAAGTGCAGCGTCTGCCACAGTTGTTTGGCCTTAACTGATGCCCCTCCAGAAATAATTACTGAATAATTACTGGTACCCATACAGTGCATAGCAACAGCAGTGTGCCGTGACCTCGTGGTGGGGTCCTGTACAGCGTGGCACCTTAGCCTCCTGCCACACTTCTCAAAGCAGGTACTCCTCTACCTCTCCCAGGTGTGTGTTTGTTTGTTTGTTTGTTTTTAATGTTTATTTTTGAGAGAGAGAAAGAGACAGAGCACAAGCAGGGGAGGGGCAGATAGAGTTGGAGACAGAATCTGAAGCAGCTCCAGGCTCTGAACTGTCAGCACAGAGCCCCACGGGGCTCGAACCCACAGACCGTGAGATCATGACCTGAGCCGAAGTCAGACATTCAATCACCTGAGCCCCCCAGGCGCCCCACTCCCAGGTGTTTTATCAGGATTGGACTGGTGTGTGAGTGGAGGGCAAAAATAGGCCCACCTTAAATATCTCTCCTAGTTATAAACAATTCTATATTTTATAACATACTTATTAAATAGAGAAATCATTGAATGCATCTGATCTCTTTTCTTAAATCCTCTTTAGATTTGGCTCGAACCTATGAAGCCCATCATTAGGCAAATACGAAGTAAGTCCTTATTTTAAACTCTTTAAAAATTCTGTTCATTTTAGATGTTTTTGTTCTTGACTGTTCAAATTGAAGGTATGTTCAGATGTTTATTGTCCCTGTAGCAGCAAGGCGATCACCAGCAGCACTTGAACTTGAAAGTCATTTTGCTACTTAGTCTTAACCTATGGTAGCTGGGGATGGGCAGTAATTTAACTCACTTTGTTCTCAGATGTGGCAGTAATCGGATATGCTCTTTGATAGCACTTTAATTTTGGACCAATATGCAAAGATAAATAGCATATGATTTCATTCATATGTGGAATTTAAGGAAAAAACCAGATGAACATATGGGAAGAGGAGGAGAAGAGAGAGGGAAACAAACCACAAAAGACTCTTAATGACAGAATAAACAAGGGCTGATGGAGGGAGGGAGGTTGGCGATGGGCTAAATGGGGGACGGGTATTAAGGAGGGCACTCGCAGTGAGCACTGCGTGTCATATGCAAGTGATGAATTACTCGGTTCTACTCTGGAAACCAATACTACACTGTAAACTAATTTGAATTTAAACAAAAAAATAAGAATGCAGTTTCTGAGTTATAAAAAGACATTGAGGTTCAGTTAGCATTTGTATTTTTTTAACAGTTTTTTTTTTCTAGAGAGAACGTGTGTGACTGGGGAGAGGGGTGGAGAGAGAAGAATCTTGAACAGACTCCATGCTCCGCACAGAGCCCAACACAGGGCTCAATCCCACAATCCTGAGATCGTGACCCAAGCCAAAATCAAGAGTCAGACACTCAACTGACTGAGCCACTCAGGCACCCCCACATTTTTTTAAACAATTTTTTGTGATTTTTTTTTCTTTAGTATAGTTGACAATTCAATTACATTTATAATTTTAAACATAATTATCTTTGTTAGTCTCTATTAAATTTGTTACGTTGAGGCACATGGTACTGCCTCTTAACTTAGTATACAGTGCATATGCTGCTGTCCAGGGCTCCGGATTTACCTGCAGGCTTTGTAGTAGCAGATGGGGGAGAAGGGCAAATGCCATAGCTTCATCAGTCAGTGGTGGCCTCAGGCCGCGTGGGGCGTCATCACAGGTAGCAGAACAGCCCCTCTTTCCTTCTTGGTGAAAATTAATGGGTGCGTTACTATAAAATTTCAGTAAAGCTAAGATCCTCAGATGAGCTAATAATACCTTGTGCTTTTTCTTTACAGCAGCCAGGTTGTTCTGGTTTAGTATAGTGAGTGATGACAACATTTTTCTTTCACTAAAGTGTAGAAAGATCTCAAAACATAGTGGGATGGACCTTATTTGTGAAGTTTAAAATGTTTCTTTTCATAGGGCCAAAGAACGCATTGCTCCGTCTAGCAGTGAAATTTTTCCCACCTGATCCGGGTCAGTTGCAGGAAGAATACACAAGGTAAAGAGCCCCTCCTAAACCACAGCTGTGTCTGCAGGGTCTAGAATCCACCTGGATCTCCTGCAGCACCTGGCTCATCAGGTGCTCCGGAGATATGTATTCAAAGAATGAATGAATACATCTTCATTCACATAAAAGGTGTTATCAATGTGTTGTATTAAAAGAAGCATTTAACTCTTGCTTGTACAAACACAAATGCCGGCGGAGCTTGGAAGAGGGTTTACGGTACAAATCCGGGGACAAAGATAGGGGTGTGTGTTAGTGTGCTATTGAACTGATACCCTCCCACTGAGCACAGATTTACGCATGTGCATAACCTTGTCAGAAGCTTCGCCCATATGCCCAAAATACACTCAAGTGAGAGAATGCCAAGCTCGGGAGTCCATATGAATCTATGAGCAGAAATATTTTTTAGGTGATTTCTTTTGGATCACTCTCTTGCATTCGAGATTGATTCTTCATAGAAATGATTGAAAGAAAATGTTTACAGTTACTTCATCTGGACACAGGTTATGGAAGGTTTTTTTCTTGTGTTTTATGTACCAGCTCAAAACCCAAAATCAGATATAAAATGAAAGAGAACTATGATATCATTGTGGTGGTACCAGCCTTTCTGACGAAAAAAAAAAAAAGGATTCATACTTAAATCATGGGCATCTTATGAATCTGTCTTTAGAGGTTCTTGTAGAACACTGTGATATGACAGAGTCACAGATTGTCAGCCGCGAGGAGATGGAGGGGTCCCAGTAGCCCAGCCGCTCACTTCGTGGGTAAGGAAACAACCAAGGACAGCAGAAAGCATTGTTACGAATGAATACAGACGCCTCTTCAGGGTATATTAAGTGCCTGGCATTTCCCAAAAAAGTCCTCTCTGAGGGAATAACAGGTAACAGGAAGTGTTACCTAGCTCTGGGTCCAAGCCAACTTTATGCAGAAGGTCCCTTTTTTTATTCATTAAAAAAAGCAGCAGTTTATGATAAAAGAAGAAAAACCTCAAAATACAGCTACATGGAGTAAAAAGCAAATGTTCCCCTTCACTCCCTGTCCACTGTGCTGTCCCCAGAAGTAGTTACGCTTGAGGTGTGCCTTCCAGACGAATTCACAGCAATGTATATAAATGGACCCAGGTCTTTAAAGAAATAACAGTTCACAAAGTGGTATCACACTGTATCCCACACCTAGAACCGTCAGTTGGTTGGGTTGTTTTGTCTTGTTTTATTATCCACATGGCTGTAGTACGTACGCCGTGGCTGTCTCTCTGCTTATATTTCATATGCCTATAATCTACTTTACTGAATTATTCTCCTATTGGTGCATATTTAGATGATTTCCAGTTTTCCTCTGCTATATTGCTGCAAACAAACAGCCTTGTCCACACACCTCTGTAAGCTCTAGAAAATATTTCGCCAGAAGAGTTTCATAAAAGTGAAATTGCTAAGCTAAAGGGTAGGCACATTTAAATTTTAAGAGAATACAGTAAATTTTAACAGCTCAGTCCAAGTATAAATTGCAAGGACAGACAGAGTTTGTCTGCTCCATTCTAGATCCTGCCCCAGAGTAGTACCTGGAACGTGTGCCAGCTCAGTCATTGCTGTTGATGGATGAACACACGTGTGTGTTTATGAATATTGCCTTCCCGAGGCACAGTCAGGAGTACCCATTTCTCAGATCCTAGCCAAGACCAATTAGCATCAGTCTAAAACTTCCATAACCACGTTTTAAGCTCTGTCTGAATTGGATATTTCTGCACTTTCACAACAGAATCATTGAGTGGAGTTTTGTGTGTGTGACAGAAGTGACATGAATTTGTGAGCTTGCCCTTAAAGGTGTGGTGCGTCTGGGAGGCGAGCATCTGAGTGCTCCCGAGTGTGCGGAGCTGCTGCCTGCGAAGGGCCGCCTGTGACTTCGCCTTTGCTCACGGTCTATACTGGTGTCACCGGTCACTGCAGTTTCCGGGGCCCCCGTGCTGTCCTGCGACGGAGACGTGGGGGGTCTGCTCTAGGGCCTTCGGAGCTGATACCTGTGGTGTCTTGAACTCCCTTCTAGGTACCTGTTCGCCTTGCAGCTGAAGAGAGACCTCCTGGAGGAGCGCCTGCCCTGCGCGGACACCACGGCCGCCCTTCTGGCAGCCCACCTCCTGCAGTGTTAGTGTCTCCCTGCCTCGGGAGGAGGGCGGACGTGACCTGTGACCTGACTCACCCAGGGTTCTGAGTGTGTTGGAAGAATGGTCTTTGATTTGAGTATTTCCTCTGATAAGCTGAAGATTAACGTCTATGGAGTAGAAGTCCTTGAGACAGACAGTCTCCACCCAGGAAAGGAAGGCTCAAGGCCAAGATCTGCAGCCACACAAATTCTTCCAGAATGTCTCTCCTTTGTGTTTCCCGCATTTCCCCCATACATATCTTGAGTCTGGGAGCCAAGGGACAGCCCTGACCCTCAGCACCCCCGAAAGAGCCCCTCTGGTGACAAGTCATGCATCAAACCCTGAGGGAAGAGATCACATTTCTCAGTATGTCACACAGCAAGAGACAGCTCAGAAGAATGGGAAAAACCACAGTGTAGGAAGAGGTTCCGAAAACCGGGTGTGTGCCACTGACCGGGCAGAAAGAAGGAAGCACCGCTTCTGGACTAGGGTCCCTGGCACAGAACTCACGTGTCTGAAATTTGAGCACAGAAAGTAGAATGTAGAAAAGTGTCGGGAATCATAGGGACTAATAAGTATGTGGGTTAATTTGCGGTTTACTTGGTCCCTCCCACCCCCACACCTTGTACAAACAGCAAATTCCATCACTGCTGGCACTTGTTGGTATAAGTTTTCAAAGTGACTTCGTTATTTTTTGTTGGGTTTGAGGTCTTCTCAGAGAGACAGCTGACTTTTCAGTGCGAATGGTCCTTTGGCAATGCCGCCCGTTCAAGGGCCATGTAGGGTGTGGGTATGGTAACCTGTCAAGCCGTCACCCTGCCCTTGGAAGTGTGCTGCGTCCTCTGCGGCAGCCTGCAGAGACAGGGCCACCAGCTGCAGCTTGTGACTCTGAGCCGGGTCGCCTGGCTGTAGGAGACGTGATGGAGCAGCTGCTGACAGCGTGATGGGGTCTGAGGTTCAGGAGTCCTGCGCGGGGGCCATGTCCTTCTTGGGGGGCCATACCCTGCTCACAGGCAGCCGTGTCCATTGTGGGGACAGCCCACCCGCATGTGTGGCGCAGTGCAAGCAACTTTTCTGTGAACTTGAGATGGTCTCAAAGCAAAAAAGAAGTTTATTGTTTAAGATTATTGAGCTTTAGGTATGATTCTTGAAACATTAGTAGCCTCAGGCTTCAGGAAATTAGAAAGAGACATTGTTCCTCAAGAATTTGAGAGGCCCTGAAGGAAACAGTGATTTAAAATGCATTATCCTGAAACAAATAAAATAAGATACATATTCCTGGTCACAGCAGTCTTGAGGCTGCAGACAAATCAAGTGAGGTTTAAAAAACACAGCAAACCCTTCAGGATAAACTGGCGGCTCAGTATCAGCCTCGCTGGAGTCACTCACCAAAATCTTTGTTCCTCAGAACTCAGCAAAAACTTTTTTTTTTTTAATTTTTTTTTTAACATTTATTCATTTTTAAGAGACAGAGAGACAGAGCACAAACTGGGAAGGAGCAGAGAGAGAGGGAGACACAGAATCTGAAAGAGGCTCCAAGCTCTGAGCTGTCAGCACAGAGCCCAATGCAGGGCTCAAACTTGCAAACCATGAGAGCATGACATGAGCTGAAGTCAGATGCTTAACCGACTGAACCACCCAGGCGCCCCAAAAACTTCTTTACCTGCCTTTATATTTGCCTTTAATAGCTTAAGATAGGTGGGGAAGTAAAATACAGAATCTTGTTCATAAAATAAAAATATTTATATATTCTTTTGCTACAGATTTAGGGTAATTTTTTTCTACCTTTAATTCATGCATTTGCATGTACAAATGCTTATATTTTTCTTTATTTGAAAATTAGAATTACTGACTGTTGTTATCTCACTTCAGCGGAAATAGGAGATTATGATGAAACCCTGGATCGAGAGCACCTTAAAGTGAATGAGTACCTGCCCAGTCAGGAACGTTCTCTTGAGAAGATTCTAGAATTCCATCGGAAGCACACGTGAGTCTGTCAGAGTCTGTCACTGCCCTGTAACGATGAACTAGTGTATTTAAGGAACAGAGCCACCACTAAGGCTTCTGCAAGACTGACTGAAGTGACCGCCGTCCACTCCCCGGGAAGCACAGTCCCACTGCTTTAGAAAGGCCGGAAGGGACGTCAGGGCCCCGGTGGGAGTGACCAGAGGGCAGAGTGTCAGGGACAGCCGTGGGGTCCCACCACGGGCATGAGCACTCTGAACTAAACACTGAGAAACGTGTTATGAGCCGGCCGAGTGGCAGTGGGCCCGCTCTCTGACTGACTTGATGCTGGTGTGCCCTCTCCAGTTGAAGAGAGGTGCAGGAGGGAGGGCCAGGGCCGAGGACCTGAAGAAGGTAGCTCTCCCAAAGGGAGAGCAGACGGGAGAGGGGCCTGATGGCCTGGCCTTGTCCTTGAGAAGGGGCCTGTGGACATGCAGTTTATGTTGGCCTAGCAGCCCTCATGGGCAAAGCTCTGCGGGACGCCCCCTCACCCTCTCATCGGAGGTTTGGGTGGCCGCTGTTTGTCAGTCACCACTGTCCACACTTGGTGGGGGCAGTTTGAACACCATGGACCAAGATACTCACCCTGGAGGACTTTACCCCGGCAAGACTGCATGCTTCTCTTGCAGTTTGCTGCTCACAGGCACTTGAAGAGTGCCTCTTGTGTGCTGGCATCGAGATGGGCACTGGACACGTGAATATATTGCTGTGCACTGTGGTGTGCAAGCTGAAGGGCAGACGGAGCAGCCGGGGTGAGAAAGGGTGAGCGGCTGGGCTGCTTGAGCCGCCAGGCATCTTTGAGGAATTGGCCACATAGGGCTGGTGAGGGGGCGCTCCAGGCAGAGGCAGCAGCCTGGGAGGGTCCAGGAGCCGCAGCAGCCTGCCCGCAGCTACACCGGAATTTCCGGTTTGGGTGGAGGTGCAAGTAATGGTGCCTGCTGCTGACAGAAGGCTGTGTGACCCCACTGCACGGCAAGACCGAGTGAAGGCGCCAGCCCCTCTCGGTGTCACGGTCAGGGCCACCTCTTAGTGTCAGGGCTCAGCACACTGGGACATAGGAACAAAGGGCTGTCTCCCAGTGCCTGTCCCCAAGCAGATGGTCACTTGTTGGGGATTTGTTCCTGGGGTTGGGACAAGGCACTGCAGGGTCAAGGGTCCCACCAAGGTATCTGTGCCAGCAGGTGGGTGGGTCTGGGATGCAGGCAGAGTGTTGTCAACACATTGGCCACATCAGTCCCTTCAGGTCACCCAGGGAAGAGAGGGTAGACACAGATGGAAGAGCAGAGCCCAGGACGGACCCCTGAAGACTGGCCTTGAGGGGGGGAGTCGGAAGGGGGCACCACCAGAGGTCCTGAGAACAGGGCAACGAGCATGGGGGCCTTGGGCCCTGAAGGACGGTATGTCAGGAAAGGGTTGAGGCCCCCACTGGGCGTGGCGAGTGTGGCCGCACACATGTCTGTGAGGGGAGGTAATGGTGCGGGTCTGTGAGCAGTCACTCTGAGAGCCGGCGCAAGGGCGGCTGTGCTCGGTGTTCACGTGCTTGCGTGTGTGTGTGTGTGTGTGTGTGTGTGTGTGTGTGTGTGCGCGCGCGCGCATGCGCACGCGCGCTATGGGTATGTCTCAAGGTGGCTGCTTTAAAAATTCGTGAAAGCCTCTTGGAGAAAGAAGAATCAGGTGATGTTTCACATGGGATAAAACCTGGGTTCTTTCCAACAGAGTGCCGCCATCCCTGAGCTCAGCTGTCTCTGGGCTCCCATGATCTTTCTTTTTACTTTTTGTAAGATATTTAGGGGCGCCCAGGTGGCTCTGTCGGTTTAGCGTCCGACTTCAGCTCAGGTCATGATCTCACGGTTCATGGGTTCGAGCTCCATGTTGGGCTCTGTGCTGACAGCTAGCTCAGAGCCTGGAGGTGTTTCAGATTCTGTGCCTCCCCCTTTCTGCCCCTTCCCTGCTCATGCGTGCGTGCGCTCTTTCTCTCTCTCTCTCTCTCTCTCTCTCTATCTCTGTCTCAAAAATAAATAAACATTAAAACATTCAGTAATGTCTACACCAAGGTGGGGCTCAAACTCACAACTCCGGGGTCAAGAGTTGCACACTCCTTTGATCCAGCCAGGCACCCCTCATGGTTCTAATGTGCTCACTTTGTCCTTCAGTCATCAGATATTTCCTGTGCTTCTTTTATTTTTTTTTAATCATTTCTTACGTAGGATTTTTAAATCATTTCTTAAGCCGACACTGAGTGCTCCGACTCCACGGCCTCCCCTGCCTCCCTCACCCTCAGGAGACCTGGCTGAGACTCCAGGAGTGGGTTGCCTGAGGCGCAGGCTCCTCCCATGGTGAAACCAAAGCACTGTGGTGGGGGATGGGCACAGGGTAGGCGCCTCCCCTTCCAAAGGAATGGACTGGAAGGAAGAAAAGGGTGACAGGTCTCAGGCAAGTCCAGAACCAGCAGAGCAAATGACATTAAGCCTTAAGGCTCAGGAATAATCCTCTTTGGCTCTGCTCTGCCCTCCGTCCCCCCACCCCACCCCGGGCTGCTCAGGCAGCCTTGGCCTTGGAAAGCTGAGCAAGGGCCAGTTGTGTCCCCAGCCCCCACCCTCTTCCACCCTGGCCTGTGATGGGAGAGGCAGCCCTGACCGGGGTTGCCTTTGGAGTCCTCCCTCCACTGTCCTGTTTCCAGCGCGGTGGCTGGGCCACACTGATCACCACCACCGCTTGGCCACACCTCGGGGTTCCCATTTTCTGTAGTACAGGCTGTTCCACATCTTACAATTCTGCTTCCTTTCTGCATCAGCTGCCACGTGTCGGGCGTCTCTCTCCTGCACACTGGCTGTCAGCAGAGCGGCCCAGCCGCACCTTCAGCACTTTGCTTAGAAATCTCTCCAGCCCGGGGTGCCCGGAGGGCCCCGTCAGTTAAGCACCCTACTCTTGATTTCGGCTCATGGTTCTTGAGATCGCACCCTGCGTCAGGCTCTCCACTAAACGCTAGGACGTGACTGTAACTCAGCCAAGTGTCGGGCCACTTTATAAAAGGATCGCCTTTTGTCCCATTTCCAAGAACGTATTCCTCACTTCTGTCTGAGACCTTGCCGGAATGATCTTTTCCATCCTCGTGGCTACCAAATGTTGTTCAAGAAGGTTTAGGGCTTCTCTGAGAAGAAAGGCTGTTTCTCCGCTCTCTTCTCCTTCTTAGCCCTCACCAGAACCTCCCTCAGCATCCCGAACGCTAGCCGCCCCTCAGAGCTCCCCCAGCCCCGCCCAGCACCCCTCCCGGTCACTGGAGGCACTGGGACACCACGGACAGTGGTCTTCCTGCTTGATGATCATTTATCAAATACAAGCTGATAGTCAGGTGTCCACATCAGACTCAAAGAATGGAAGTTTCAGTCCAAGAATAGAAACCGTGGGAAGGGCTGTTCCTTAAAGATCCAGAAGCTTAAGCATGTGGGAGTGAGAGGGAGAGTTATTGATGGAGAACCCCACATGTCGGGCACAGGCCAGGCGTGGGGTGCTCCTAACCAGGATGCTGTCTGTCCCCTTTGCCCAGCTGTGCCCTCTCTGAGCAGCAGCCAGTGTGACACAGGCCACGGTCAGTTCCCCAGGAGCGTGACTGTGGACTGTGCACTTGAGAAACATGTTTTTATTCAGTTTCATAATTTTATCCTTACAAAAATTATATTCTCATGGTTAGACTTGTACATTATGAAAGTGGTTTTTTAAAGTATGAAATGGGTGTGATGAGATACTGGTGCTGTCCGTGGTTTCCCTGTTTCGTACCGGGCTTTGTGGTCAGTGTCTGCACATCATCTTGTCAGTGTTCAGAACAAATTACAAGGCGGAGCATCTAAGCTCATTTATTGCGTACGAAAAAACATTCCACCGATCAGGAATGGGTCACAGGAGAGGCGCCTGGGGGGCTCAGTCGGTTAGCGTCTGACTTCGGCTCAGGTCATGATCTCACGGTTTCTGGTCTCGAGCCCCGCGTCGGGCTCTGTGCTGACAGCTCAGAGCCTGGAGCTGCTTCAGATTCTGTGTCTCCCTTTCTCTCTGACCCTCCCCTGCTCACACCGTTTCTCTCTCTCTCTCTCTCTCTCTCTCTGTCTCCCTCTCTCTCTCAGAAATAAATAAACAACATTAAAAAAAAAAAAAAAAAGGAGTGGGTCACAGGATAGAGGGAAACGGACAGTTTCTTTGGCCTGTGTGTGCCCAGCTGCTTTTCTGGTGGAGAACACTCTCACCATGAGCCGTCCGCTGTCTAAAACAGCCTCCTGTGGAGCCTTGTTTCATTCTGTTATGTTTTCCTGATGGGTTTTGTTTTGGCTCTTTTAGACATCAAGTCGTTTTCAGTGCTGTGATCATGCTGTCCTTTATTTTAGGGGCCAGACGCCTGCTGAGTCCGATTTCCAGGTGCTCGAAATTGCCCGAAAGTTGGAAATGTATGGCATCCGATTTCACGCCGCTTCTGACAGGGAGGGGGCCAGAATCAACCTGGCCGTCTCCCACATGGGTGTCCACGTGTTCCAGGTAGGGAGGGACAGGGGTGTGAGGACTGGCTGGGGCTTGATTTGACACATGTTGGTAAATGTTCGTTGTGATGCTGAAGGTCCTGGCCTGGCAGGGAGAACCAGCTTGTCCGTCTCCTCCCTGTCCTTGTCCTCGCTGTCACAGAGCCCTCTGCCCCCCAGGGCAGCCAGGCGCGTGCCATCATTCTAATGCTGAGCCACGGTTCCTCTCTTTAGAACCTTCAGCAGAAACACTGGCTTGCTCGTGCCACAAGCATGGACCTGCCACAGGTCTGGGGGTGCTGCTCTGTGAGGGGTCATTTCAGTATAGAAGAAAGAACAGACCAGAAAGTATCAGAGGCTCTTGCACGTGATAAGCGTCAGTAGCAGCCTTCAGGAACTTTTGTATTAGCCATGTATGGACATGCGATTGGTGACATAAAAGGGCCGCTAAGTTCTGCCTGCAGCCACACATGCGTGTGCTTGTGTGTGTGCTATGGAAGCATCCAAAAGCAGAGAAACACAGCCCCTTCGCACCTGGAGGGCTCCGCATGCCCCTCCCTCGGGCTGGGTGGCCCAGGTGCTGCTGCCGTCCCCTCTCGGGAGTCCTCTGTCTGTCCTTGCAGAACTGCGGCCTACAGTAGCACGTGGCCATCCTGCAAAGGCCTGCTCCTTGCTGACCGCCAGGGAAGGCTGCAGCCTTTGAGCCCGGGGCTGTGATCATGGCTCTTTCCTCTGTGGGCTCTCTTATTTTTTTTTTTTAAGTTTATTTATTTATTTTGAGGGGGTTGGGGGAGAGACCGAAGGAGAGAGAGAATCCCAAGCAGGCTCCGCACTGCCAGCACAGAGCCCAACGAGGGGTTTGATCTCGTGAACCGTGAAATCAGGACCTGAGCCAAAATCAAGAGTCAGATGATTAACCTACTGAGCCACCCAGGCGCCCCGCCTATGGGCTCTCTTTAGCCTGTGTTTGCCTAAAATGGCTTGTCTAATCAAGGCCCCTATAGTCAAGCCTTGCTTTCTTTTCCTTTTCTTTTCCTTTTTTAACCTAGCCATCAAATTTCAGTTTCCTATTGGGGAAGAAAAATAATTCATAAACAACATTAATTGTGACACATTGTATACTGACCGACAGGCAGAGGACGCGCCAGGCACACCAAGTGAGCTGGTGGACTCGTGGCCTCCCACACCTGCTCACTCAGATGATAGTTCTGCCATCATGCGTGATGAAAATCACACGTCCATCCAAATCCAGACAGTGTAATTCTTCCAGAAAAGGATAGCTAATTTGTAACTGGAAGAAGTTAGAAGCAGAAATTAGAGATTTCAAGTTAAACACTTTAGATGGAATTCATTTTTACTCCCTCAAATCCCCACCAGAATGATGATGAAGGGATTTTCTTTAAACTGAGTAAGAAGACCAGAAAAGGAAACCACAGTGTCAGTGACATTTTGGAGGTCAGGAAGTGGGCAGATGCCCGGGAAGAGCAGAGTAGAAGTAGCTGACCTCCCGTGGTCTGCAGTGGGGAGGAGTGGGGAGCAGGCCGCCATGTCCCCAGGAGTTGGGAAGGGTACCTCATGCTGGCCCGGGCCAGCTGGGGCTGGAAGCAGCCTGGTTTCACCCATGGGAGGGACACGTGCAGCCCCAGAGCTGAGGCAGCAACTCCCCCACCCCCGGCCCCTGTCCCCTCCAGGGTACGGCTTGGATGGTGGATGTGAGGTCCCCCACGCAGAGTGTGGGGTGAAGGGACAGCCCGTCATCTCCATGTGGCCACGGGCCCTCCCCGTCTCAGCTCCCCTGGACTGGCGGCCAGGCTGACATGTGCAGAGAATATACGACACGCGGTTTTGCAGAGGTGTGACACTCCTAGAGGAGAGGAGAGGCCAGCGTGGCAGCAATGGGGGGTGGGGGGCCTCAGGCTGGCGGCCAGGCCCGACAGCACCTGCCAGCACGCAGGCAGCCTGCAGAAAATTGTCTCATATATCAGCCTCCACAGAAGAGTTTTAAATTCTGCACAGAGGGTTTAGGCTGAATTAGTGATGGGAACATAGAGAATTGAGTAAATGAAAAGAGGCACTTAATAAGTCAAGAAAAAGTAAAAGTAAAGGACAAAATATAGTAAGAATTCACCACAGCTCAGCCTGTGAACTGCACTCACACGATCAATAATATGAAAACCAAATTTAAAATTCAGCGGCCATGGGGGCGCCTGGGTGGCTTAGTCGGTTAAGCGTCCGACTTTCACTTAGGTCATGATCTCGCGGTTCGTGGGTTCGAGCCCTGCGTCGGGCTCTGTGCTGACTGCCAGCTCAGAGCCTGGAGCCTGTTTCAGTCTGTGACTCCCTCTCTCTCTGACCCTCCCCTGCTCACGCTGTCTCTCTCTCTCTCTCTCTCCTAGAAATAAATAAAACATTTAAAAAAAAATAAAATTCAGCGGCCATGGAGTGGTGCAGGGGTGCTCAGGAGGCCGGGTCTCCTACAGGCACCCGAGGCGGGCACCAGAGCTGCTGGGGAGGGTGGGGGTTTCTGTCCCAGCAAGAGGGCTTGAGCGTGGGGCCCACATGCCTGGGTCTTGTCTCGGGCCTTGCCTGACGTTTCTAACTAAGCCGTGGGTGGTCTCATGCAGATCAGCGTGAGAGCAGCGCTGCTGCTGCTCAGTTGTAGAAAGCAGTTTAGAGAGCTCTTTCTCTCTCTAAATAAATAAATACTCTCCTTCCTCTATATAAATAAATAAATGAACTTTAAAAGGAGGGAGGGTGTCTGGGACTCAGTTAAGTGACTCTTTTCTTTAAATTTTTTTAATGTTTTATTTATTTCTGAGAAAGAGAGCATGAGCAGGGGAGGGTCAGAGAGAGAGGGAGACACAGAATCGGAAGCAGGCTCCAGTCTATGAGCTGACTGTCAGCACAGAGCCCAGCACAGGTCTCGAACCCAGGAACTGTGTGATCATGACCTGAGCCGAAGTGGGACGCTTAACTGACTGAACCACCCAGGCTCCCCAAGTGTCTGACTCTTGATTTCGGCTCAGGTCATGATTTCATTGGTTTGTGGGATCGAGCCCCGAGTCGGGCTCTGTGCTGACAGTCCCAGAGCCTGCTTGAGATTCTCTCTCTCCCCCCTCTCTGCCCCTCTTCTGCTCGGTCACCTACATGCCTGCTCTCTCTCAAAATAAATAAATATACTTTAAAGAATATTAATAGTAATTTGTAGGAAGGCTGTATCAAAGACATCAGGTTTTCCTAAAACAAGCAGATTTGTATATTTAGTGTTGACATTTTAATCCAGAGTCCTTCCAAATATAATTGTAAAGTATCAAGTGGGTTGTTGTGCTATCTGGCAAGTTTGTTAATTTAAACATTTCTCTGTTTCTGGGTGCCTGAATGGCTGAGTCAGTTGAGCTCATCCAACTTCTGCTCAGGTCATGGTCTCATAGTTTGCGAGTTCAAGCCCGGTGTTGGGCTCTCTGTCAGAGATCCTCTTTCCTCCTCTGTCTCTCTGCCCCTCCCCTGCTTGCACTCATTTTCAAAAATAAGTATTAAAAAATAAGTAAATAATAAACATTATCTTTTTGTGAAAGTGTGTGTGTGTGTGTGTGTGTGTGTGTGTGTCTGGATTACAGTGTGTCTGAGTGTCCATCTCTTGGGTTTCAGGGCACCACCAAGATTAACACTTTCAACTGGTCCAGAGTACGAAAACTCAGCTTCAAGAGGAAAAGGTTTCTCATCAAACTGCACCCAGAGGTCCATGTAAGTATGATTTCAAGCACTTTCTAAATTTTAAGAGAACTTACTCTGCTAGAATATTGACTTCTCAAATTACTTTATAAATCACTTGAGTGTGATGCACACAAGAGTTTGAGGACGGGATCTGGAATTGTGCGGAAGGGCTTTTGGGTACTCTGCCCAGTAGGGCTGCTACTGAGGGTAGGTCGGCGTCCCAGCGGGACCTGCGTACACAGCTCCTCCCAGCCGGCTCTCAGCGTTAGCCGGGTCCGGGGTGAGAGGGAGAAGCTCCTGGGGGCTGCTGAGAACAGTCCATTTACTCCAGCCTCTTTGTTCTCCAGGTAAGAGGCCGTGGTCTGAAGGCCCACAGCACGTTAGCGTTAGAGTGTCCATCCCCGTAGGCTGAGGGCCACTCCCAGTGTGCTCCTGTTTCTTTGATTCAGAAATTAGCCTTTTACTAGCTCTAATTGGAAAACCCTTGATTTTCAAAAAATAAGTACTCCTTTCATTTGAGAATGTCAGTCAATAAAATAACTATGCATGAATTTACTGAAATGGGTAAAGATGGAAAAAGTAAATGTCTCTATAAGTGTGACAGGAAGAATCCGGTACTTGAAGCAAGTCGAAGGTATCCACCTTGGTACATTTCCAGTGTACAGAGGAGGTTAGGAAGCCAGAGTAGATTAGCCGAGCGTGGCGGTTGAGGCATAAGAGGCTGTGTCAGCGAAGACATGCTTCATGGTGGGAGATTTAAGCCCTGAGCCAGTAGAGAAGAAAGGCTCTACTTAAGCTTTTAAAAGGCACTTGATTAGCAAGAGCTTTTGTCAAACAGCGGGTTCCTGAGCTGCCTTGGCGCTTACTTTCTGTAGAAGCCGGAAAAGATGGCTTGTTTCTTACTCAAGCATCTGCCGTAGGGATGGAAGGGAAGAATAAGGAAACATACATGAAATGCAGGTAAAGGGCTGCTGTTTTCTCCGTGAGTGAAAGAAAGGGTGCTGTTGTGACAAGCAGGGAACCCTCACCCAGCCCCATGTGCCAGAGCAGCAGCGCAACACCCCACCAAAGCCCAGGGCTGCAGCCACACCCATCCGCAGCAGTTACCGCTTGTGTCCATCAGCACTTAGATGTTTTTTTTTTTTAATGTTTTATTTATTTCTAGGAGAGAGAGAGACAGCGTGAGCAGGGGAGGGTCAGAGAGAGAGGGAGTCACAGACTGAAACAGGCTCTAGGCTCTGAGCTGGCAGTCAGCACAGAGCCCGACGCGGGGCTCGAACCCACGAACCGCGAGATCATAACCTAAGCAAAAGTCAGACGCTTAACCGACTAAGCCACCCAGGCGCCTCCATCAGCACTTAGATGTTAAAGACTGAATCCAGACGTCCGGGCAGGATAGTCTTTCTAGAAGGTAATTTAGTAATACATCACAAATTCAAAAATGGGCATTGTTGGGGCACCTGGCTGGCTCAGCTGGAAGAGTGTGTGACTCTTGATATTAGGGTCATGAGTTCGAGCCCCGTGTCAGGTGTAGAGGTTACTTAAATAAATAATTTTTAAAAATCTGCATTGTTTTAAGCTCAGTATAACAATTCTAGGAATTTATCCTGGGGAGTGACTATGAGAGATGAGGCAGTAGTTTCTTCAAGATGGTGTGTGTGAGCCTTTAAAACTACGCCATGGGCATCCAGCACATCCCAGACTCCACAGGGAGATGATTGGTCAACAGTGTAGAAGTCATTGCCTGACAGAGAGGATGCCCTGGTTTGCTGGGTGGGATGTGTCCCAAGGAGATGCGTGTAAATGTTAGCAGTTGTGTGATCATAGGTGACTGCATTTTTCTGATCATTTCTGAAGTGAATATGTAGATAGCTATTTTTCTTCTCTTACGTAAATGGCACCAGAAGTCTTTATAGATAATACAGGGAAAAAATTCTTCCTAAATTTTTAAGTTTATTTATTTATTTATTTTAAATGTTTCTTTTTGAGGGGTGCCTGGGTGGCTCAGTCAGTTAAGCGTCCAACTTCTGCTCGGGTCACAATCTCATGGTTCATGGGTTTGAGCCCCACGTTGGACTCTGTGCTGACAGCCAGCTCAGAGCCTGGGGCCTGTTTCGGATTCTGTGTCTCCCTCTCTCTCTGACCCTCCCCTGCTCACGCTGTATCTCTCTCTCAGAAATGAATAAAATATTTTTAAAAAATTTTTTAATAAATAAATATTTATTTTTGAGAGAGAGTGCACACCACCCACAAGCGTGCCTGTGAGTGGGGGAGGGACAGAGAGAGAGGGAGACAGAATCCGAAGCAGCTCCAGGCTCCAAGCTGTCACCACAGAGCCTGACCTATGGCCCCAACCCGTGAACTGCAATATCATAACCTGAGCCAAAGTCCAACGCTTAACTGACTGAGCCACCCAGACGCCCCAAGTTTATTTTGAGAGGGAGTGCATGCGCACACACTTGCACTTGAGCAGTGAGGGGCAGAGAGAAGGGAAGAGAGAATCCCAAGCAGGTTCCCTGCTGTCAGCACAGAGCCCAACTCAGAACTTGATCTCATAACTGTGACATCATGAACTTAGCAAAAATCAAGGGTGAGATGCTCAACCTGCTGAGCAGGTCCCCCCAAAATATCTTCCTAATGTTTAACTTTGAATAAAAATCTGTTGTCTGAATGCCTCCTAAATTTTCTTGAATTAGTAGCTTGAACCTTTGTACTTTGTTTCTAGGGACCTTACCAGGACACGCTAGAGTTCTTATTGGGTAGCAGAGATGGATGCAAGAACTTCTGGAAGATCTGTGTGGAATATCACACCTTCTTTCGACTCGTTGATCAGCCTCAGCCCAGAGCTAAAGCTGCCCTCTTCAGCAGGGGCTCCTCCTTCAGATACAGGTGGGGCCGCCACACGCCGGCCGGGCCCTGCTGGCTTTGTAGGACTAAGAGTGTGCGTGTCCCCGGTCAGGAAACAACCGCTGTGAGACGGTTCAGGGAGTTACATACAGAACGCGGCTACTATGAAACTGGCGAGAGCAAATCCAGTAAAATAGTGGAAAAAATAGTTCTGATAAAAACTGTAGAAAATCAGGCATGCTTATCACAAAGCAGAACTTTACAGTGTCTCTGGGAGCCTAGAGGGCTGGCAGGTATGATTTTGCCTTCATGAAAAATCAGTGCTGGGAATTGCTGCTGCTGCTTTTCCTTAAAATCTGAACTTTTATTCCCAGCGGAAGGACTCAGAAGCAGCTGGTGGATTATGTCCGAGACAGTGGGGTGAAGAGGGTTCCCTACGAGAGGTGAGCACCATGGTCCCTGTGACGGAAAGTCTGTGCTTTTAACATTAGTATTTTACGTATTTTTTTTTAATGTTTCTTTATATTTGAAAGACGAGACAGCACGCGTAGGGGAGGGGCAGAGAGGGAGACACGGACTCTCAAACAGGCTGAGCACAGAGCCTGATGCGGGGCTCCAACTCGGGACAGTGAGATCATGACCCGAGCTACACTCGGACACTTAACCGACTGAGCCACCCAGGTGCCCTGATATTTTATGTATTTTTAACCTTTCCCTGAAAACAGTCAGCTCAAGTACATAAACATGTATTTTGACTCCGGAGTTCTATTTCTTTAATTTTTTTAAAGATAATGGATTAATATCTTTCTATAGTTAGTGTTTAGATACAGATAGTGACTTTTTTTTTAATTTTTTTTTAATGTTTTATTTATTTCTGAGAGTGAGAGAGACAGTGTTAGCAGGGGAGGGTCAGAGAGAGAGGGAGACACAGAATCTGAAGCAGCTCCAGGCTCTGAGCTGTCAGCACAGAGCCCGACACGAGGCTCGAACCCACGAACCGTGAGATCCTGACCTGAGCCGAAGTCCAGCGCTTAACCGACTGAGCCCCTCAGGTGTCCCCATATAGTGACTTTCTAGTCTCTAATCTGCGTAGCAGATCCTACATGTAATGTCTCATATAGTATGGTAAACTTTGAATCAAAAATTTCACGGGCTTTTTGCATGTGGGATTTTTCTTCAGCGTGAGGGGATGATTTTACCTCTTCTGCGGCATCTGTTTTTATCTGAGTTCTTGCTTTTTGTCACTGCCTGTCCAGCCAGATGCCTGTGGCATATTGTCAGAACCTTGGCCCCATTCTTACGTGCGCCCTTCCCCGGGGCATGGCTGTGCTCTGGACAGGCGCTGGGAAAGGCATCTTGGGGCTCACAGATTGTTCTCTGTTTGCAGGAGACACAGCAAGACCCGGACGGCTGTTCATGCTCTGACTGCAGACTTGCCGAGGCAGGTTAGTCCTTCCAGTGGAAGCAGATGTGATACTGTCGCCTGTGCTCTGTTGGAGAGCCACCTGGCAGTGTTGTGACAGGGCCCTTAGACTCAGTCCTATTGTCCACATGGCTCTCCCGGCCCCAGGGCTTCTTGCAGAAAAGGAGTCCTAAGAGAAAGCTTTGTGCGTTGATACGCGCCACAGCGGTATTGTGATGCTAGAATCCTGACCACCGCCTGTGGAGGTGACTCACTAGCACGGTCTCGGCTGTGCCTATTCGGCGGGGAGTGCTTGGGGAGCAGCTCGAGTCTTGTCATGGTGGGGGGCGGGCGGAGGCCCGGGACGCGCACACAGTGCGCTGCCAAGTGAAGCCAGGAGGTTGCGGAGCAGCCTGTGCAGTAAATCTAAAGTGACAAATAGATGCTCAGAGGAGACAGGCTAGAGGCATAAACCTCAAAGTCCCATGTCGTCTCTGCGTGGCAGGGTCCCCAGGCAAGTTGTACTACAGTGGGCCAGGCGTGCGCGTGTCAGGAAAGCAAGTGGTGGATGACAGTGTACGCTGCCAGCTCAGGGCGCTAAGTTACACTGCATTCACGGGGCGAGCTTTTGGTGCTAATATGTTAAAGGTGAAAAGCAGGAAACAGACACGTATCCGTGTTGGGCACGATTACTGCTGTACCGAGCACGGGCGTACCCAGAGGCACAGGCACATCTTCACAGAGAAACACTGGGCCACAGAGTCGAAAACGTGTTAACAGCTGGTGTTCTGGGACATGGTCCTATGCTTCCCGCATGTGCTGCTAGAGGCTTCCATCCCCAGGCTCGCATGCCAGCTTCCACACACACGTACTTTATGTAGACTCCTGTCTCTCTGTCACGGTCTCCTCATGCAGCTCTGTGGTTTCTTATTTATAAGTGTTTATTCTTGCACGATGTTAGTCCTTGTTGACCACTGGTCATTTATTATGGTATTTCCAGAAGCTGCACTTGTACCTCATGTTTGAAGCTCATGTTTCCCAAACTTTGTTTAATTGGATGTTTTAAATAAAAACATTCTTTAACTCTTCTAGGTATGTTTCCTATTTAGGAGTTTTTTGCTAAATCTATTGATATCAAAAGATTTTTATTTAAACAAAGTTCAAATTTATGAATAGCTTTTTTTAAATTTTATTTATTTTGAGAGAAAGAGGGCACACAAGCACAGGAGGGGCAAAGAGAGAGGGAGGCAGAGAATCCCAAGTGGGCTTTGCACTGTGAGCACAAAGCCCAACGCAGAGGCCGATCCTGCAAGCCACTAATAAATAAAATAGTATGAATAGGGATGCCTGAGTGTCTCAGTTGATTGAGTGTCCAGTCCAACTCTTGATTTCAGCTGAGGTCATGATCTCAGGTTCATGGGTTTGAGGCCGGAGTCAGGTTCCATGCTGGATGCACGGAGCCTGCTGAGATCTTGTCTCCCTGTCTCTCTGCCCCTCCCCAACTTGTGCTCGCTCTACACGTATGCTCTCTTTCTCTCTCTCTCAAAATAAACATTAAAAAAGTATAAATAGTCTAAAAATTACATTTAAACTTTCAGTTCTGATACTGTCTTTCAAAAACCACAAGAACACATTGAATCCAGTTTTTCGATTGAAAATGTGACAGGATGGGCACCTGAGAGCAGATTACCCCGTGGAACGAAAGTCGGTCACCGTGTGGCGTCCTGCTGCCGCGCCCACACTGCATGCTGCTCCTCATGCAGAAAGGCGCTCAGGACCAATGGGTGGCACCTTGTCTAATCACCCTCTTCCCAATGTCGTGCGTGTACACGGCATCTGAAGTTCCCTGGAGGCATGACTGTCTTGTGACACGTGAGAAGGGCAGGCTCACTCGTTCCTTGTGTGTGGGACTGAGGACAGGGCTCCTCCTGCCCCTGAGTAGCTTCTCACACGAGCTGGGGGCAACGCCAGTGCTTCCTGAAGGCTCTGGGGTCCAGTGCCTGTGTGAATGTACCATGCGCTCCATCACTGCCTGGCTGTAATCTCCGAGGAAGGAGTGCCACGTGCAGATGCGTGTGTCCCCTCATTGGCGCTTTGCTTTAGAATCTCGTTAGCTGAGTGATTCTAGATCTGAATCTCAGATCTAGAAATCCTTCTAGAGGCTGAGAAGGAAATGTGCAGACACACGGTTAGCTTTGCAACTTTCTCATGGTAATTTGTAATTTTATGTGCGCCTCTTTCTTCTCTTCACCTTGACCCACAGAGCGTCCCCTTCACCGAGGGCCTGAGGACCTCTGCGCCCCCGACTTCCGCAGACGCCCCCTTCTGTTCTGTCCCTACCTCCCCTCTGGCCCTGCGGGGCCTGCCTGATTTCAGAGACAGCACTGGCTCCCTCACCGAGCCCCGGACTCCCGACGCCAGGAGGCCAGCCGCAGCCGACGGTGACACCAGAGGGGCCCCGGCCCCCGGGCCCCCTGCGCCGCAGCCTTGTCAAGGTGTTGGGTTTTGTCACGTTGTGAGGAGCTGCAGCCCCAGCCGTCCCGTGGGTCAGAGTCACGACGCCGCCACAGGCCCAGATGCAGGGGGCGCTGGCAGGGAGCGCAGAGCTGCTGGTAAAAGCGACCGCGGGGGTGGCGGTAGCGTGACCGTGGGCTTGTCCCCCGCCAAGGGGGAGCACCCGCACGGCCGGCAGGGCGGTGGCGGCGGGGGGCCTGTTTTCACATTGACAAATGCCCGGCTGCAGGTGTCTGAGGAGTTCATAGACGATGACCCGGCTGACATCTCTTTCTTTGCTGGAGGCTCGGAGGCGTTCTCCTTCCCCTACTGCGCGCTAGCCCCGCAGGCCCCTTCCTGCGCTCGCCCCGCCCCCGCCCCATCCAGCCCAGACAGGTACCCCCCGGAGGTCATGCACATGCACGTAGAGCATGGTTTTGAATTTGAGGGAGAGGATGGCTTTGGCGGCAACGTGCACCCCTCAGACACCTCAGAGCTGTTTGAGGTGAAGGCGCAAGCCAGCCTGATGCAGAGCCTGCTGAGCCCCTCGGAGACCAGCTCGCTGAGGAACAACCAGTCCGAGAACAGCTCCCTCAGCAACTTGCCGCTTCACAGCGGCCTGTCTGTGCGCACCCCCAGCTCGGCCAACCAGTCCGAGGCCAGCTCCATGGCCAACTTCCCCGCCTGCTCGGTCCGCTCCGAGGCCAGCTCAGCCTTCCAGCTCTCGGACATCATCGACCAGTTAGAGCAGCTCAGCTACCCGCCCACCACCGCTGAGGACTCCAGCAGCACAGACACGGATTCGTGGGGCGCCGAGGCCGGGGCCCCCCTAGACATGAGCCTTTTTTTCAGCAACCCTTTTGCACAGACAGGTGGAGAGAGAGTCCTTTTCAATCTGCAGACCATAAAGAATTTGACTCCAGGAGAGCGGGTGGATAAACACCCTTCCTGACCAGCCCAGGCCCCCTGCAGGGCCACCCACCGCCCACTCAGTGCAGTGAGAGCTCAGATTGGTGGCTTTACACCCAGGAAGCGAGTCTGTGTTCATGGCTAGATGGTCTTCTTCTTCCGGATTCTCTCATTAGTCTGTTCTGAATGTCGGAGGATTAAAACTTTTGCTTAGAATGGTGTGTTAAAAGGTGTAAAATAGAAGAGCATTTCCACCTCAGGGCTGATGAGCTAGTCTTACAGCTTTTCTTCTCTGGCTTACACTCTGATTCAGCTAAAACCTGGTACTCCCCACCCCATTTTGAATGGTACGTGGCTCTGATTCGCATTGATCTCTGTTACAGTGTGTCCTGTGCCCATTGCTGCTTTCGAAGCTGAAGCTTGCTGTGCGTGCTGCGTTAGGATGGGGGGTGTTGTGTGGTCAGCCCTGCACGGACCTTCCAGTACGCCCTGCAGAACCCGGCCCCTGGGAAAGGCTGTGAAGGCCAGGGGCCCCTGCCTGCCCAGCCCTCCAGTGGCACGCAGTGGGGCCCCTGGGCCTGCCCGCAGCACCCTCTGTGCCGAAGGCGTCGTCCACTGACTGGAGACCCAGAAATGGTGCTGTGTTTAGATAGTGGGCTTGGGGAAGCTTTGGTGTAAAATGCAATGTAAGCTTGAACTTCTTTCTTCCATCTGGCTTAGTGGTTGCAGAAAAAGCAGAACCGGACACACCGATCCGCCTGACAGTTCAAGTGTGCAAGCTCCCAGCAGAGCTCTTTGCTTCAGACTGATTAGGGGGCCGGTTCACTAAGCAGCAGTGCCCAGGAGCCCCACACACGTCAGGGGCTGAGATGCTCTCTCTCTTTGGGAATGTCGTTCCTTCAGGTCAAGCGGCAGCTGTTTTCTAGCAGTGTCTGTTTCTGAGGCAGTTGGAACGGTCGTGTGAGTGGACAGCCTGAGGTGGCTGTGCCCGGTGGGTGGGCACAGCGCAGGCGCTGTGAAGCCCGGGCTGCTGCCCACGGCACAGATGGCCTTACCTAGTAGAGATGTGCGCGTGAAAGGCCGTGTTTCTTAACTGTCCCTTGGTGAGTGCAGGCCTCCTGTCCATCCCTGCTGGTTGCCGAACCGAGCCCTCCCCTGGGGGATGCATGTGCACACACCGAGCAGCCGGCTGTCTCTCGTGAGTGGCAGGCTTTCTTTGTCACCAGCAGTCATCGAATACCAGCAGAGGCTTTTTGCCTAATGTATTGATTTTCCATTTCTGTAGCTGCCTTAAACCTCCGGCACAGTCTCATCACTGTGGTCTGCGGGACGAGCACATGGCATGTGTCCTCATCCCGTCCCTTGTTCCTGAGACATGGCCTCTGTCCAAGGTGGAGGCTATCTGGTGCAGTTTCGTGTTGGCTGACCAGTATCTGCGAAGAGACCGTGTGAGCCAGGTAGAAGGTGGGCTGCACAGGTAGGAACCACGAGTTAGAATAGCATGTTCCAGACACTTTGTCTTCCCCTTGGTGTCACTCAGAAACAGACTGTGTATCTGTGCAGCAAAGAGTTAATACATCTTCCATGGGAAATGCATTTCCTAGGCTGTAGTCATCGCGAGAGCTGCCTCTCTCCTAATGAAGGTGCCTGGCGTCAGGCTCAGCGAACCTAAGTCGCCCTGTTTCAGGTGTCCAAGCAGCAGGTCCCGTGTGGGTGGGTAGGAGCCAGGGCTGCGGGTGGCGGGGGCACCGCATAACACTGTTGTCCTGCAGATTCTGAGTAAAGGCTGCTCTCCGGCAGCTTCTGCCAGGCCTTCCTCTACAGGAGTTTTGTTTCCCCAGTGAACCTTCATTTTCTGGAGTTGATTTTTTTAGCCTTTTATTTGGAAAGCTTTCAAAATACCCAGAAGCAAAGGGGAGTGGACATACCCTGGTCACCACCCCGTTCAGCGTCACCAGGGTCCGACCCTGCTTGTGCCATCTGCCTTTTCCTTCCCCTCCATGCCTGGTGCTCTGGTGTTCTCTTGGTGCCCGGACAAGCTATGCCTTTCCTCAGAATGCCTGCGTGCATCTCTGAGAGCCGACCCCTTCTCTCATGGTGCCCCCGGCAGTGATGCAGAATTAATAACCCCATGGTATCCTCTAATACCAGGGACGTACTTGAATTTGCCCAGTTGTCTAAAGGGCCTGTTAATACCTGATTTGTTCAGATCAGTCTTCAAACACTCTCTGCTCGAGGCATGTGGCCGTGACCGCTTTTCCATCTTTTCCCATTGAGAAGACCCACTTCGTGCCGGTGACTTGTAGAAGGACCAGGGGCCTGGCTCATGCTCCTACCTGTGCCGTCACCTGTCTGCCCTTCCCCGGCTTCTCTGAAGGCTCCGAGCCACGTAGACCACCAAGCACGCGCCATCACCCACACCCCCCCTTATCCCGCAGCCCCGCAAGGCTGGTGCCTCCATGCCATCAGCACGTGGGGCAGCACAGCTGGGAAATGGGCCCAGCGTCCCAGACGCTCTGTGGACACCACTGTCCAGCTGTTATGTTCAGATTCAGGTTTAGCTTTTTGGCAAGATCTGGAGAAACACGTAAGAGCTGTTCTTTTCCAGAGCTCTCACACTGTGTTTAAGTTGGCAGGTCTCCCTTTCTAGTGAAGTCAGTTAATTAGAAGCGAGCGCGGCTCTCCTTGGAGGCCTGCGCTCCTGTCTCCACCACCCTCTCCGCTTCTGGGTGGGTTGTAACCCCCACCCCCCACACAGAGAGAGTTCTTTAGAAACCTGGGGGGAGTGAGCCCGAAGGACGTTTCCTGCATGTCTTTCTGCTCATAGCAGACCGTTCAGGCAGTGAACTTGTTGTGTTTTATCGTAGTAAGAGGTGCTTTACCATAGATGTTAAAATATCTAGAGCAGTTCGGATTGAGGGTCAGCACTTCCTGAAGCAGGATTGGGTCTTTCTTTTGTTTGTTTATGGCCGCTGATCACAGTTGCCTTCCCTCTGGAAGCCCTTGTGTGCACGAGGCCGTCGTGGGACAGTGGCCCCGCATCCCAGGCTTACAGGGTGGCTGTTCGCACCTGAGTGAGCTGTGCAGGGCTGTCACCAGCACTTCTGACATCAGCAGCCGCTTTGCTGAGAGCGTGTAGTTGAAAAGTGCCTGCAGCATGTGGACAGTTTTCTCCTTTTATGTGCTGCCCTCAGCCAGATGCAGGCCTGACCTCCGGCAGGAGGGACCGACCAGCCCCGTCACAGACGGGGGCGCTGGGACTGCAGACAGTGCCTGTTGCCTCCAAGGGCACGCCTGCTTGAGGCAGGGTGTTTATTTATATTAGTTACCCAGTCTGTTTTTGTATTTAAGTCTCTAAAGTTCAGTATTTTACATACGCCAGTATATGAGTATCTAAAGTCTAATAATAAAGTTTCAGATTAGTAAGGTTGACTGCACTCAAATAGGTAATGGTGTGCACTGTATAACTTTATAAATCACTAGGTTTGGCTGTGTGCCTTTTCTGTCTTCCGAGGGAATTCTCGAGTGTGGAATTAGGTCAGGATCCCCTTTCCCAGTTAACACAGCGTGTTGTGTAATTGACACACAAGGTTACATTTGTGTCGGTTGTACAACAGTGACTGGACAAGTCTGGGCCTCATCTGTGCTTGCTGTGAGTGTGGTGGCCACCTGTCACCACACAACCTCATCACAGTGCTTTCATGCCTGTGACGACGCACATTTTAGAAATAGCAGTAATGGTAGATGGATGGACAATAAAAATAGACCATCGGAAAGCTCATAGGGAAACCTGTTCATCTGTTCATCATCGTTGTTTGCAAAGTCCTTTCTGAATTGGGTCCTGTGTGGTCACCCTTGGATTTTCAGTGACAAGCTCCTCCTCCACCTGCTGCCCTGCACGAATCACCGTGAGCACCCCTCCTGTTCTGGCTGCGATCACGTGGGACCCACGCAGCACATGAGCCACGTCCCCGTGAGCCATGTGTTTGTGTGACATTTGATGCCAGTGCCTGTGTCTTCCCTCACGGTTGGTGGAACATCAAAAAAGAAATCCATTTCTAGAACAATTACTTCACAGACAAAAATGTTAACTTCTTGGGCGCTTACAGTTGAGAATTTCAGTATGTGTTCTCAAGGCACGGAGTCACACTGCCAGGTTTGGCTTTGGCCCTTGTCCTGAAGTTACAGGACTGTCACAGCTGGCTGGAGC